TATCGAGCGACTGTATATAGGAAACTAGACGTGCTACGATTATGGGGTAAAAAAATCTACTAACAAATACGGCCAAAAGAAATTGATTTAAAGTATTTTCAAGTTTGTAACTTCACCACTAAGGGGCGCAACTGCTATAGTGTTACAGATAATTGTCGGTTTTCACAAGTTTTGTTTGAACTTTTTTTTTGTTATTACCATAGCAACGCCAGTATGAAGGACGCCATCTGGAAATTTTTAAATTGTCATAACTTCTGAATACCTTAATCGATTTCAATAAACGATGGCTCACTTTAGAGCCAAGAACTGTTAATAAAATTTATATTTATGATATGGGAATAAAAATATTATTTTCCTGCGCAACGGTAGACGACGCTAATGAGAAAAGTTTTGTAATTGTCTCCGTTTACTAAAAAAAATAATGCAACGATATAGTTTTTTTCATGGCTTGATAGACCATTCATTAAGGAAAACAAATACACAAACCGGAAGTCGATATCTTTTTTCGTTTTCAAGTTATTGCTAAAATAGTGAAGTTGTGCTAGAACATCCTCCTTTATTTAGTTCTCTAAATAACATTGACATAGTCCAAGCCAAAATTAAATTGTAATTAATTGTAAAACTGTACCAATCTTGTCCTTAAAAAGAACTTGCTTTATTTTAATTTTTTTTAAAGTGTAGGTATAATTTTTCATTTTTTTATTAATTACAAATATCTGAGTATTTATAATGATTATTGTTTCCATAACGAGGTAGGCTATGCCCTATGAAAATATAGACAACTGAAAAACTATGTCAAATGAAATGTAACAGCTCTTGCTACGTGCAAAATTAGCGTTATTTGTGTTGGAAACGTACTTGTGAACAAGGAAAATGTCTTTTACGAATGTCGAAGCGTTTGATATGTTGGCAGTTTATTTTCAATGTTTGGAAAATGCCGTTATAGCTTCAAGGGAATAAGCTTTGCGATACCCTCGTAGAATACGCTACTCCAGAGAAGTATTTCAGCGTTTATCCAGACGTCACTACATTATGTAAGAAGACATCGCTGTGCAAGAACGGAAGATAATGTTATTAATGTGTTGGCTTGTGTCCATGTAAATCTCCAAATAAGTGTTAGGGAATTGGTTACAGACCTGGAAATTTCATATGGAACACAAGTGTTTTTCTCACACAAATGACACTAATTTTTCACAAAGCAAGAGCTGTCACATATCGTTTGACACAATTATACTTTTCTCATCAGCGTCGTTTACCATTGCGCAGGAAAATAATATTTTTATTCCGATATCATAAATATAAATTTTATTAATAGTTCTTTAAAATGAGCCATCATTTATTGAAATCGATTAAGGCATTTAGAAGTTATAACAATATAAACATTTCAAGATGGCGTCCTTCATACTGGCGTTGCTATGGTAACAACAAAAAAACGCTCACAAAACTTGTGAAGGGTTTAACATTGTATCTAAAATGTGTATTTTCAACTTAGGTTATATAGGCGAAATTTCGAAAAACCGACAATTTTCTGTAATACTGCAGCAGTTGCGCCCCCTAGCGGTGAAGTTACAAACTTGCAAATATTTTAAATCAATTTCTTTTGGACATATTTGTTAATAGATTTTTTACCCCATAATCGTAGCACTTCTAGTTTCCTATATACAGTTGCTCGAGGCCGTTAATGGATCATGGTGTTAAAAAAAGAGTGTCAAATATTTAAGGAGGTAATAGTATGAATCAAAATAAGCAGAAAAGTCTCAATAAACATGGGTCCGCAAAGTAACGGTTGCGGAGATATGGAATGTTTTATGTTTTTTACCCCCTTTTTTTATTTTGCAAAAACGTTGTGTATTTTCTTATAATAGTTGGTTGATGTTTAGTGAAATAAACAGTACGTATTTGACAGTTGTTCTCAGTGCACAAGTTTTCTTTCGCTATGGCTGGTTACTCTAACGCAGAATTAACAGACATGCATTTCATGTATGGTCGTGCTAATGGGAACGCCACCGAAGCGCGACGTCTTTATGTTGACGCTTATCCAAATCGCCAGATTCCTTCACAACGCATGTTTGGAAGAATTCACCAAAGATTGCGTGATACCGGTTCCTTGAGCAAACAGTGCCATTTATCCGGAAGACCAAGGTCGGTATCCACTCCTAGAGCAGAAGAAGAAATTCTAGCACTGGTAGAGCAGAATCCAGGTACGAGTGTGCGGAGAATATCAGCCGAGGTAGGAATTAGTGGTCCTCTTGTTTGGAGAATCCTTCACGAGCAACTGCTTTATCCATACCATGTGCAACGAGTACAGGCCTTAAATCCAATAAATGATCATCAAGCACGTTTGGTTTTTTGCCGCTGGTTTCTACGTCATGATGCTGAAGACCCTCGTTTTCTTGCAAACATTCTTTTTACTGATGAGGCCGGGTTCACAAGAAATGGAGTGTTTAATTTTCACAATACGCATATTTGGGCCGACGAAAATCCTCATGCTCTAATAGAATCTGGACATCAGGCACGTTTTTCATTAAACATTTGGATGGGTATTGTAGGTGACAGGTTTCTAGGTCCTGTTGTTTTACCAAACCGATTAACAGGCGCTGCTTACCTCAACTTTCTGCAGAACACACTGTATGAGTTTTTGGAAGACATTCCTTTGAATCAGAGGCAACAAATGTGGTTCCAGCATGATGGTGCTCCAGCTCATTTTTCCATGGCCGTTAGAGAGCATTTACACCAAACTTTTCCACATAGATGGGTAGGAAGGGCCGGACCTGTTTTATGGCCTCCAAGATCGCCTGATCTGAACCCTCTAGATTTCTTTGTTTGGGGATATTTGAAGACATTAGTGTATGGTACTCCTGTAAATAGCCTGGAAGAGCTGCAGCTACGGATTAATCAAAAGTGTCAAGAAATCCAAACCAAGGAGGGTGTTTTCGAAAGAGTTCGAATATCGTTGAGACGAAGATGTCGTGCCTGCTTGGAAATGGACGGAGGGCACTTTGAACATCTTCTGTAACTTTGTTTTTTGTTTGTTAAAAGCTTCCTTTGTCGGTTTATTCCTAATAAAATAAAATGTTTGTAAAACGAATAGTGGTCCATATCTCCGCAACCGTTACTTTGCGGACCCATGTTTATTAAGACTTTTCTACTTATTTTGGTTCATACTATTACCTACTGAAATATTTTACACTCTTTTTTTAACACCCTGTATAATAATATATATTTATGTGGAATTTTGCTTAATACATGAAAATACCTTATTAGACATTATAAATACATGTGCACATTTCTTATGAAATTTTGTTCATCTTTTTTTGTCGGACTGACGATTTGCGGATACATTTTTGTCGGACATTGCAATTTTTGCTTATAAAAAGCACTTTTCTATCGTGTGTTAGTTTTGTCCGACATGTGGTAATCGATTTATCATACCCCGTGAAAATTCCGATTTCCAGCTGTCGATGTCGGACTGAAAAAACGCGGCTTGAAATTTGTCGGACAACAATACTTTTTGACTGAATTAATTATTTACAATTAATTTCACTAAAAATTACCTATGTACTAATTGATTTTCAATACCCTGTCATTTTAGCACGTTTCGGCCGGTAGACTCGTCAATGTTGAAAGAATTTCTGTCGGACAAATTTAAATCGGCATTTGCAACAAAATTTCCAGTAACTTAAGCTAAAAAAAAGATGTGGTCTTGACTTTTCAAAACTCCGGGAAATTGTCATGTTTTTGGACTTTTCCGAGTGGAAAAGCGGAGGATTCGAGAAAAGTCGCAGAGGAAAAGTGTGGTAAACTCGTCAAAACGAAGCTCCTCACGAGTTATAAAGTATGTGGTAATCAACTTTCCAGGGGGGGCCTGTACTGTGGACTATTAATGTTAGCATAAGAAATTTAAAAACGTAAGTACTTAAAATTATCTTTAGAACAAAAAGCTGTCGTACATTTTTTTGTGAAAAAAAGGGTACGTTTGAGGTATTTTATATTTATTAAGCTATAAGCTTATTTTAAATTTAAAAAAATATCAGGTCTTTCGAATAAAGTAAATTTTTTTAGAAATAAATTTAGAAATTAACTGGAGGAACTTTATTCACTTTTCGAAATACTCAACGTCGAAATTCTGGAATTTTTAGTAGTAGCAGCTTTCAGTGTCTGCGCGCTAGTGTTTGGCCGATTTGTATACCGATTCAGTGAATATTTGCCTTTAATTAATTATACCATTAACCCAAGTTTCATCAATCTAAGTCAAACATCTACAGAGAAACTTGAATAAATGTATACACGATATAATTTTAGTAGGGGTCATTTTTTGGGATCAAACTGGTAATATATGTTCCCCAAAATAATAATCAGAAGTTATTCTTTTTAATCAATTAAATAGTAAACTTATAATTCGTTTTTAAATTTAAACTCTTGTACACTTCGTCACTGGATAGTACCCGGAGTTGTGTCAGTGTTGACTAACTGTACTGAGACTAACTGGAGTAGCATTGTTTTTGTATGACTTTGTAATATGTTATTTTAAAATTACTATTTTTATGTCAATGTGAGCGAAGCGGCAAACATTAGAAAATTCCAATACAATATTTTCTTAACATCTGCTTCATCAGCTGAGTCGGTGGTAGAGATTTTAAATTAATCCAAGCAACACAAAACAGTAATAAAGATAAACTATTATACGATGCGATGATCCATTTCGACCAACAGTTGAATAGTTTCGCAGTCGCATGTGCTTGATCATTGTTTACACGATTGGAATATGCAAGTAGACTTTACACCTGTGGTATGTTAACGGGGTGGTAGAAGGGCAAAAACAAATGGCGAAACAAAAATGACCGAATACGTAACCGCTTCATTGTATTTCATTTATTTACAAGATAATTTAGCGACCTTTTGCTTGAAATATGTTTTTACTGAAATTAAGTTTTATTTTATAGTTCTATTTAGTGAAGGGTCATTGTCCAGTGTAAGTCTATAATCTCATAAAGTTATTTATTACTGTGTTTAGTAACCGTACCGTGTATTTGTGGTTTCTTTTAAATTTCTGTAATAAAAAAGATGCAGTAGCTCGCACTGGCGCACAGTGGGCAAACATGGAAACAATTCGAGCCAGGGGGCAGGTTAAATTGTATAGCAATAAATGTTTCTTCAATCACATTAAGGAGGTTTATCGGGTACGGAGATACGAAAACTCAGCATAAAATATATGATTTTAAAGTCATAAGAAACATTTATTGCTATACCATCTCATTTCCACGAGGCTTGAATTGATTCCATTCCTGCCCACTGTGCGATTGTTTGAGGTTATATTAGCCTGTTCAGCTGCAGGTTACGAAAATATGGAAAAAATGATTTAAAAAAATCCATATTCACGATGGAATACGAGAAAAAACTTTGTGTTTTTAAATGTAAAAGGTAGCATTCCGTATAAATTTGATCCCCCATTCAAAGTTACTCTATATTGGAACGAAAAACCAACCTGAAGTTATGACATTCTGCATAAACAAATCTATCTACCTGAGAGAAAAAATCTTTTTATATTTTTTAGGGAAGCTTGAGTGATACAAACGGAAGGAAACATATAGTGCTATGGTGCATTGCTTTATCTTTTATAGGGAATATTTTAACGTATATGAGTAAATCAGTATCATTACTATTTTTTGCTAGGACATTATGTGGTAGGTATAAATCAATTTATTATATTTTTCGAAGAAAATGTAGAAAAATCTGAAAGGGAAAGTTGTTTATTTTAAATTTTATACTACACTGAAGGAACTCTAACAAAATATCTGCTTTAAATAGACTCGAGAAAGGTTGCGATGCTGTCATAATAAAAAATATTTTGCTAAAGGAGCCTATTAGAGGTTAAAAAGTTTTTTGTTAACTTCTTACGTATTGAACTATCTTCTTATTACGTTAGCTACAGCGCAATTTTTATCCTAACAGAAGTTATTTTTTACCAGCAAATACTATTTTACTATAAATAAGTAACTTTTTAGACACAAATAGGTGATTTCATTACCATGACTATGTGCAATTATTAACATTGTCTTTAAACTTTCCCCTCATATTTAAAAAGTTACAAGTAAGAACAAGATATCTATAATTAGACAGTCTCACCATCCTTCTCTTTTTACTTTTAACTTTTCAAATATAAAACAAAAATTATAAACCAAAGTTGATAACTTATGAATACAACATGCACTGTCACTACACATAGGTACTTCTACATATGCATATACAGGGTGTTCTCAAAGTTGTCATTTATTTTAACTCATAAAAAAATCGTTTATATAAAAGTGGTTAAATAAAACAATTATTAATAATTATTTAAAAAAATTGAAATTTAAAAACTGTAATACAAACCTGATTTATTGTCATTTTCAACCATTCCGTTGTAAAAATATGAATTGTTTGTTTAATAGTGGTAGTGAGTATGTCTTTTTTTTGTAGTTGCACGGTTTTGAGTACGCTTTTCGATTTGACAGTGTTAAATAATTCGTACAATAGTGCGTGATATTATTTTTGATTTGTGGGTGTTTTATGCAATAAAAATAGCACAGGTTTGTGAACACATTGAACTAGTGGACATAATATTAACTTACAGGGTGTGTCAACAAAATGCAGCCGCAGCATGTCGCTTGTAGGAAAGGTTTCCTTTACGAAATCATCCGGCTCCGTGGATGTTTGCAAATTTAGTTATGACTCCGCGACACAGGGCATTTAAAGGAGCAACGAGGAGGTTACGCTGGAAGATAAATTGTTTATTTACTGACATGGACCTAGTGCTCGTTAGGTCGTTTTCGACAATTTCTAAAATTTCTTCCTTGATCTCCATCATTTCGCGTGGAGGAGGTCTTCCAGCGTGACCTCCTCGTTGTTCCTTTAAATATCCTGTGTCACGGAGTCTAAATTTACAAACATCCACGGAGCCGGATGATTTTGTAAAGGAAACCTTTCCGCATACAAGCGACATGCTGCGGCTGCTCTTTGTTGACACTCCTCGTAAGTTAATATTATGTCCACACTTCTTCTTCTTTTAGTGGTTGGTCCTAATAAGTCCCATTGCACTGCGGCCTAATTAGGCCTATTGTGCGTCCCACTACTAGTCCTATTCAGCAAGTAGATTTGTCCTTTTTACAAAGTCCAAAAGCTTCCTTGCTGACACTTCTCTCAGTTCCTTGGGTTCCAAATAGGGTATCCCAAGGAGCGCCATTCTGCTACGTGCTAATCCCGGGCACTCGCCCAAGATCTGCAGAGAATTTTTATCCGCCGATTCACATCCTCGGCAGATCGGACTGTCTACAAACTTTAGCTTATGTAGATGTTTCCTAAAGTGACAGTGTCCCGTTAAGAGTCCTGTCACTCTCCTAAGCCGGATTCTGTTCAAGTTCAGTAGTTCATTCGCTCTTTCCTTCGAAGGATACTCCATGAGCTCCTTAGAATGGCTATGTCCTGGCCTTGAAGTCCATTATTTCCTGTGTTCTGTCTCAGTCCATTTGCCCAGAGCCCGTCTGACCATACTGAGAGATGTGCCACAGAAGGGCTCCGGGCCAATGAACTGTGTCTCGGATCCCTTCCTAGCAAGTTCATCCGCTTTCTCATTTCCACAAATGCTTTTGTGCCCTGGCACCCAACACAGTCTGACTGTATTGTTGGTGGCCAGTTCAGTCAGCATTTGTAAACAATCCCACACCAGTTTTGAACTTACCTTGTGTGGGGCTAAAGCTTTAATTGCAGCTTGACTATCAGAGAATATATATATGAGTTTACGTCTATAACCTCTACGTACATTCTCTGCCAGACACGCCATTATCGCGAAGATTTCTGCTTGGAATACGGTAGGGAACTCCCCCAGACTGTAGCTTGCACTTCATCTGGGTCTGAGTCCATACATTCCTGCACCCGTCCCTCTGGTCATTTTGGAGCCATCTGTAAACCATACTAGGCTCCACCTTTCCAGGGTATTAAACCTTTCCTCCCACTTGCTTTGATCCTCTATTCGAGTCTCAAATGGCTTGTGGAAGTGAAACCTTGGAACCATCTTGTCAGATACCATCACAAAAGTTGGTTCCGACATAGATGTATATATGATCCTGGAATGGGAACCACCCCTCCAGTCATTGTTATTCCAGAGTCGATATGCTGCTAGCCGCGCTTCTCTTTCCACCACTATATGCAGCGGTGGTAGATTTAGCATGACTTCTAGTGCAGCTGTCGGGGTCGATGCCATCGCCCCCGTTATACCTAAACAGGCCAATCTCTGAATTCTATTCTGTTTTTCCCCCGCTGTGGTCTGTTGTGTTTTTTGCCACCATACCACAGCGCCGTAAAGAATCCTAGGTCTTACTATCGACGTATACAACCAGTATGACATCTTTGGTTTCAGTCCCCAGGTGCTCCCAATAAGGCGACGGCATACACACAGTGTCTGCTTCGCCTTACTCACCACTTTTTCCAAGTGCGCATTCCAGGTAAGCTTATTATCCAGTATCACTCCTAGATATTTTACTTCCCTGGAAAGTGTAATGCCCCTCTCCCCTATTATAGGTTCAGAGAGTCCAGTTAAATTTCTTCTCCTGGTGAAGGGTACTACGACCGTTTTGTCAGGGTTTACTGACAGTGCCTGCCCCTTACACCAGTCATCTATCCATTTCAAAGCCTCTTTCATGAGTTCTGAAACGATAATATTATGTTTCCCGACTATGAGAACGACCAAGTCATCCGCATAGCCTTGTGTATAAAACCCCTTTCGATTAAGGCCCTCCAGTGCGCCGTCCACCACTAATCCCCATAACAAGGGAGACAGTACGCCTCCCTGGGGGCAGCCCCGGCCTACCTTACACCTGGATGTCTCTCCCGAAAGGGCTGTTACTGTCCGGTTTCTCAACATGGTATCTATCCAACGACATAAAGTGTCATCAAGGCCCTTGTTGCGAACTGCCGAATTAATAGATTCGAAAGGTGTATTATCAAGTGCCCCTTCAATATCTAAAAAAGCTGCCAAAGCTAGATCTTTGTCGTCCATCGCCCTCCCTATCCTAGAGGGCTGTGTCGACTGATCTGCCTGCCTGATAGGCGTATTGGTACCTGTGTAGAGGATTTGCCCCCAACACCCCATCCCGTATATGCCTATCGACTATTCTCTCCAACGTTTTCAGGAGGAAAGATGTTAAACTTATCGGGCGATACGCCTTTGCCTGGGCATACGATGGACGCCTTGGTTTAGGAATAAACGACACGTTCGTCGATCTCCATGCCACCGGTATATAACCAAGTGCAATGCTGGCTCTGAAGACGTGAATTAAAACCGGAGCTAGACAGTCCACCCCCTGCTGTAACAGTACAGGTAGGATTCCATCAGCTCCTGGTGATTTAAATGAGTCAAAAGAACTTATTGCCCATCTTATTCGTGACTGACTCACCACCATACTGGCAACCTCCCAGTTCTGTCGAGACCCGGTCGTTACCCTCTGCTGGTGATTCCAGTCATATTCATCTCCATGATTTAATAACCTGGAGCCTGGAAAGTGAGTATTTAGAAGTAATTCCAATGTCTCCCTTCCAGTTTTAGTATATTCCCCACTCGGTGCTTTAAGAGACCCGAGTTTCGTATTTCTATTCTTAGAGAGAAGTCTCTGGAGTTTAGCACACTGTGGGACACTGTCAATATCCTCACAGAACTTCCTCCATGAGTCTCTCTTCGATTTTCTAATTTCTTTATTATACTCAGTGAGGGTTGCTCTATAAGCCTCCCACTCTCCTGTCCGCTTTGCTCTATTGAATAGTTTCCTTGTCTGTCCCCTAACTGTGTGAGTTCCTTGTTCCACCAGGGTACGGAGTGCTTGTCGGATCTCACTTTGATAGGACAGCTGTATTCATATGATCTTGTGACGGCGTTTTGGAGTTCATCCACAGCCCTCTCAAGATCATATGTGCTCCTTAGCTTTGTACAGATTTCCCTAGTAATGGGAACTGTAACAGGCCTGTAACTCCGTTCTATAGGAGTCCCAGTCAGTTCTTTTTGGGTCTCTGTAAGTTCTTACTTGCGGATTATAATCCATTATGATTTCAAAGTGGATATGTCTATGATTCGACATTGACGGCTCATTTGACACATGCCACCTTGCAATATTATTACATACTGGTCCCGATCCCACTGTTATATCGATGACTTCACTCCTATTTTTTATAACAAAGGTGGGCTCGTTCCCGACATTCAAAATCTCTACATTATAACTAAAAAGAAAATCTAGTAAAGACTCACCTCGATCGTTGACATCGCTGCTTCCCCATCGCTGGTGTGAGTTGGCATCACATCCCACGATGAGTTGTTTCTTCTCCTTCTCGCACCAGGTTACCAGGTCCCTCAGTTCCCTGGTTGGAGGAGATTCTTTCTTGTCGTAAGGGAGGTAAGCTGAGCAAATCACCAGTTGTCTCTGCGTTCCCTCCGATACGTAAGTCATTTCGGCCGCCACCAGGTCATCCGTGCAGAACCCTGGAAGAGGAAAAATGTTAATGCTATTCTTGTAATAAATACAAGCCCTAGGTCTAGTTTGGTGGCTACAATACAGTAAGCCACCATTACTTACCTGCAATCCTCTGATCAGGTATCCATGTACCCAAGGCTCCTGGATCAAAGCCAAATCCGCATTTGCGCGCGCCACACTGGCACAGA